TTATCCCCTTAGATTTAGGAGCAGACTTTCTGGCCTAATTGATATCAGTTTGGTTGATATTTGAGCATTTATCATTCTTTAATTCTGAAATGTATCCCAGTAAAGTTTTGTGTAGGGAGAAAGAGCACTGGGCTTTATAAATCTTCAGACCCTTACCACTTACTCACTGTAATCTTGAGCAAGTTGCTTTTCTTAGTTTTCTGTCTTTAAAATGTTAATGGACTTTTGGATTGTTTGTAGTTTTGGTCTATTAAAAGTAAAGCTGCTATGAGCATTCATGTACAAGTCTTTGGGTGAATATATATACTCTTTCTCTTAGGTGTGTATATACCTAAGAGTGAAATGGCTTTTTTATTTTTTAAGTCTTTATTGTTCAGATTATTACAGTTGTTCCTCTTTTTTTCTCCCCATAGCTCCCCTCCACCCAGTTCCCACCCCATCCCATACCCTTACCCCCCCCCCCCATTGTCCTCATCCATGGGTGTTTGATTTTTGTCCAGTCTCTTCGAGCACCCCATACCCCTTCCCCTGAGAATTGTCAGTCCACTCCCTTTCTATGCCCTTGATTCTATTATATTCACAGTCTATTCTGTTCATCATATTTTTTATTTACTCGATTTTTATATTCACTTGTTGATAGATATGTTTGTTGTCACTTCGTTGTTCATAAATTCCTCTTCTTAAAGAATACCCTTCAGCATTTCACATAATGCTGGTTTGGCAGTGCTGAACTCCTTTAGCCTTTTCTTATCTGTGAAGCTCTTTATATGACCATTTTTTATTAGGTTAATTGTTTTCCTATTAAGTTTTGAGAATTCTTTATATATTCCAGATACAAGTCTCCTCTTGTGATTTGCAAGTAATTTCCAGTCTGTGACTTGTCTTTTCATTGTTGTGATTTGCAAACATTTTCCAGTCTGTGTCTTGTCTTTTCTTTGCCATAAGTGTATTTCAAAGAGCAAAAGTTTTGAATTTGATATTCAACTTATTTTTTTTATAGATGCCCTTTATCAGATTGAGAAAGTTCCCTGAATTTATTGAAAGCTTTCTTGAAATTAATGGATTTTTGTCATTGCTTCTTTTGCATCTGTGATGTTTGTTTTATAAGTTAAAAATCTTTAGAACAAATGAACTCAGGTCTTAGGGAGTTCAGAATAAACTAGAATCACTATTGGTGCTACTTTGGATTTAAGTAAAAATACAAGTGAATAATTCCAATGTAAAGCATATAAATGCATTCTTATTGCACAACATTATGTAGCTAGTTTTGAAATTAAGGAAGTGATATGCTTACCAGATAAATGGAATAAAGTATGATGGACAATGTAAAAAATAAAAAAGAAAGATAGCATGATTTTGGTAGCTAATTGGAAAGCAGATAAGTACACTGATATCTTATTTGTTTATGTGTATACTTTAGGGAAATGTTTTTTGAAATATTCAGAGTGTACTTTAGCAAGTTATTCTTGCTTAAATTAATTGCGAGATTAAACATGCTACAGGACAATTTCATACTTGCTAGTAAAGTTTTATTGGAGCTGAAACCAGTTTGGCTCAGTGGATAGAGCTCGGCCTGCGGACTGAAAGGTCCCAGATTCAATTCCAGTCAAGGGCATGTACCTTGGTTGTGGGCACATCCTCGGTAGGGGGTGTGCAAGAGGCAGCTGATCAATGATTCTCTCTCATCGATGTTTCTGACTCTCTATCCCTCTCTCTTCCTCTCTGTAAAAAAAGTTTTATTGGAGAACTGCATGGATCATTTTTCTCCTTTGCTAGTGGGAGTAAGGTTCTTATGGTATCTAGAGGAAAAGAATTTTTTGAGACTTGCACAGGAGTATGAGTGATTTTTATTTGGATGGAATTACATCTCTTTGTTTCCAAAGTCCTATTTTCCTTAATCCAGTCCTGGGAGATGTGCAGCTGGGGATGCAGTAGAGCTAGAAGCAAAGCCAGAGTCCAGAGTTTCCATTCCATGGTGGAGCTGGGTCTGGTGTAGCATCAGTCTAGCTGTAGTCCATTAGTCAATTGTATGGAGGGTTCACATGGGTGTGAGCATGAGAGTCCTGCAACCAGGAGAGCAAGAGGCAAGAGAGAGCCAACAGCGAGAACTTTGTTTAGGAGATTAAATACTTTAAATCTTCCCATACTTGCAGTGGCCATGCCTACTCTGGCCAATCACCTATTTCTGGGTATGATTGACAGACAAGTACTGACCCTGTTTCACCCAGACTTTAGTGAGCATGCATCTAAACTGCAGCTTCTTGACAAAACTGTTCAATTCCAGCCCTATAATATTTGGCCTGCTCTTTACTCCTTTGCAGTTATTCATAACCAGGTTAAATTATAACAGTATCATTAGATCATTTGTAAGGATTTTGTAAACATTTAATATTTATATCTGTAGGGAAAGTTTCTGATAAACATATTTTCACAAAGTACAAATTGAAACTTGACATACCTGTTTGCTTAAGGCTATACGGTCCTTCAGCTTTGTTTTTCTTTTTTTTTGTGTGTGTTAATTTTTGTCCCTAAGCACTGACTTAATTGCATTTCTGCTACATCATTAGACCAAGGGTTGGAAAATTTCTGAAAGAGCCAGATAGTAAATATCTTAGGCTTGTGGGTCATGTGCTGTTTGTTGTACCTTCTTAGATCTGCCATTGTAAGGTCAAAGTGTTACTGGAGAAACAAATTTCTCCATTGCTTATGAGAGCAGGGTTCTTACAATATCTTTACAAAGTGAATTTTCTAATATTCACATGGGAGAATGAATGGTTTTTATTGACGTCCTGTTACATTCCTCAGGTTGTAAAGTCCCATGCCCCTTAAGCCAGTCCTGAAAAAGGTACAACTGGGGTTCCAGTAGAGCCAAAAGTAAGGCCAGTATCCAAAGCTGCTGTTCCGTGTTGCAGCCGGGCTCAGTTCTCCATCAGGCTGATTAAATTCCAGTAGTGTATTGTGTGGAGTCCGTGGCCCTCACAATAAGTGTGTGACCCCTGCAACAGGAGTCAGGTGCCAACAGCAAGAGAGAGCCTAGAGCCGATTCCTTTGTTTGGAAGTTTATTCCCTTTCAGCGGCCTCACTTATTCTGGCCACTCACTTGCTTCCAGATGTGACTGACAGACAAGCACCTTTCCATGTCACTAAGACTTTACTGGGTCTGTTGTCCAGTCCCTTCCCCTGTATATCAATGGGGAACAGACTCAGAGAGTGTTAAATTAGTAAAGCTGTATAAATGGCATGCCTATATTACCTAGTCTTCCCTTTACTCCTTTCCTGTTAAATGATAGCCAAGTAATTACAAAGGTATCAAAGGCAGACATAGACAATACATAAGTGAATGAGCAGAGCTGTCTTCCAATAAACTATTTGCAAACACAGGGGCCAGTCTAACCTGTTGAACACAGGTTGCTGATCTTGCACTACACTGTGGTAAGTTCAAGGTCTATAACATTTTTATTTAGCCATCACAGAATGTCCAGCACACAGTAGGCCTTACTGCTGCATACTTGCTGGGTGAGATGAATCTTAATTTTTCTGGCCACATTAAATAAAGACATAAGCCTAACTGGCAGTCAAATAATGAAATAATTTCTATTAAACTAAACTGTTACTTTGAAAACTTTCAGACCTACACAAAATATTCAGCCATTGTTAGCATTTTGTCAATTTTCTCTATAATAATTTATACACACACAATGTAATACATTTTTCCGAATCTTTTTTAAAAAATTGATTTCAGAGAGGAAGGGAGAGGGAGAGAGAAACATCAGTGATGAGAATCATTGATAGGCTGCCTCTTGTACATCCCCTACAGGGTCTGTAGCCTGAAACCTGAGCATGTGCCTTGACTGGGAATTGAACCAGTAATCTCTTGGTTCACAGGTTGACTCTCAATTACTGAGGGCTGGGCCCTCAAAGTACATTTTTAATCTTTATATTTTGTAGTACCTATTTTTTGCTTTAAACAGTTAATTATCTTTTAAAGATATATATTTTTTTTAAATAAGAAGGCCTTTGTATTTACCCATATAGTTGCCATTTGTGTTGCTCTTCATTTCTTTGTTGTAAATCCAGATTTCCATTTGATATAATTTTTTTTCTTGAAGTACTTTCTCTTATAATGCAGGTCTGCTGGTGATAATATGTCAGTTTTTGTATATCTGAAAAAAAATCTTTTTTTCACCTTTGCATTTGAACAATATGAATTTCAAAGATATTTGAAAGATTTCTATTTACAGGGTGTGTAGAGTTGGAGGTTGACATTGTTTTTTCTTTCAGACTTCTGGCTTGTATTGTTTCTGATGAAAAATTTGCTGTAATTCTTTATCTTCTGTTTTTCTCTGACTACATTCCAGAATTAACTATCAATGTTTGACATTTTATTTACTAAAAGCCCGGTGCAGGACATTCGTGCACTTGGGGGGAGGGGGGATATTTGACTTGGGCCCATGGGGAGTGGACACCCTTAGGCCTGCAGTGGGGACAGGAGAGGCTCCCGCCACCGCCGCGCTCAACAGCCATGAGCCCAGCTTCTGGCTGAGCACCGCTCCCCCGTGTGGGAGCACGTTGAACACCAGGGGGCAGCTCCTGCGTTGAGCATCTGCCCCTGGTGGTCAGTGTGGTCATTCATCCATTCAATCAATTTGCATATTACTTTTTTATTATTATATAAGACAAGTAGTGTTCTAATTGAATGCGTTAAGTTCTCAAGTCTCTGTGATTACTCTTTTCTAATCACTGTTCTGTGATCACACTCTACTGAGTTTCTGCAGCCTCTTGACTCTTGTGCTCCTAGAGGCAATTTAGAACATACCTTAAAAAAAAAAAATCAGAGGAAGCACCCTTCAGTTGTTGATAGCTCTGATTTGATTCTAAGATTCTCTGTCCCACTCCAGACTCATAATAAAAGGGCAGTTTTATTCAAGCTGCTTCAGACAGGCAAGGGGTGCTTTTTAGTTTCAGAGTATTATAAGGAGTATTTCTGATGTCTCTGATAGTTGGTGTGGATGACTACAGCTCAGAGTCTGATGTGATTATTATACCTTCAGCCCTGGACTTTGTCTCACAAGATGAAATGTTGACGCCCCTGGGGAGATTGGACAAGTATGCTGCAAGTGAGAACGTATTTAATAGGTATGTGCATGTTTTTTTCACTGACGTAGAAATGGATGGATGGTTTTTATAACATTATTTTCAGAAGGGAAAATAAAATTGCCAGTTTAAAGTAGCTATTATTAACATGAGCTGTTTTAGTATCCAAGTTCTCTTAGCAGGCACAGCCGCGGCCTCTTTTGTAGTGTTATGCTCCTTGATCCTAGAAATCATGCAGCGCTCTTTCTTTGCTTTTTGGCAAAAAATAAAATAAAATAAAAAATAAATAAAAGAAACCGTTGCTTTTTGCTGTTAGCCATAATTTTGATATGCACGTAAAGAAATTCCTAAGGAGTATCTTATTCTTTCAGCAGATCTATGTGTAGACCTAACCTGTGCCAGGTGATGTTCAAGGGAATTGTGACATGCAAGTGACTAAGATAACACTCTTTCTAATGCATTGTTTCTCCTATGGTCACAAGACCATCCGTATCAGACTTTTCTGAGAAATCTGAAAGTTTTTGCTTAAATTTTTTGAGAATAGATGTATAAAAGTCATTTAATAAAAATATGTAAAGATGTTTTATATATTGAAGAATGAATAAATTTTCCCATTGTTGTATTTTAAGATTACTGATAGGAATTTTCAGTGACTTTAGAAATTTGTAAAATCAGGTAAAGATGAAAAATATTTTAGTAAATGTTCAATTTCATCTTGTTAAAATTAAATTCATGATGGTATATGTCACTAAAGGAAATTAGTGACTTAATATATGCTAAAATGTATAACAAAAAATTTCTTTGAAACTATAGCTTCTGCCTTTTGAAATTATGAATATTAATTATTGATGACACTGAACACTGTAATTTTTTTTTTGTGTGTGTGTGTGTAGACAAATGGTGGCCCGGAGTTTGCTGGATACATTGAGGGAAGTCTGCGATGATGAAAGAGATTGTATTGCTGTTTTGGAAAGAATTAGCAGATTAGCTGACGATTCAGGTATATGTTTATGCAGAAAAAGTTTTCATTTACCAAATTTGTGTTTTTAAAACTAATGAAAAACTTAGTGTAATAAGAAATTAAAAAAAAATTTTCCTAGGTAAATTGTCAAACCTATTAGTAGCAAGAAAATAAAAACCTGTTATTAAAATCCGAACATCTAATAATATTAATAGAACCATATAGTTTAAGATTGGAAATTTCTCAATAGAAAAATCTCAACACTGTTTTTGCATCGTGTATGTTAATATTTTAGGATTAATAAAAAAAAATTTAAAATAATTTCAAATAAATTATTTGATGGGATGGAGTGGGTTGTAACTATTTTTAGGCATATATAAAATGCTTTACTACTGTATGCTTTCTCAGTTGCAAAAGTGTTTAATCACTCACTGTAAAACTAAAGCTGTTAGTCTCCAAAATGAAAATAGGAGAGTCTGCTTAAGAGGTAAACTTGCCCTGGCTGGAGTGGCTTCTTTGATTGGAGCATAGACCCAAAGGTCGAAGGTGCTGACTCCTTTCTTTTAGAGAAATCATAGGTATTCTTTAAGGAGGAATTTGTATTTATTTTCTTTTACCTGGTTATCAACTAGAGTGTTGGTTTTTATAATTATATATGTTATATATTTAAAAAATATGTTCCCAAGTTATTGAATTTATCATATCTCTATTGACATTTACACTTTTCGTTCACTCAGTAAACATAAAACAGTGCATACTCTTATGTCAGATTCTTCATTAAATGTTAGAGCAGTTACTAAAATGAATAAGATTCCTGTCACCAAATTAATAATTTAATGAATGCAACCAATATATAAAAAAAATCCATTTAATGGAGAGGATTGGGGCTGGCTTCAGAAAAGAAAGGGACATTTGGGTTGGATTTCTTACAGAGAGGAAAAGCAACACTCACGAGAGGAAAAGATAGGCTCACTTGACTTCAAGATGTTGGTCCATTTGATCAACAGTGAGTTACTGAGTCTACAGTTTATAAAAATGAGACTGCTCTATAATAAGGTAGTTGAAGACAAGATAGTAAGGGATTATATTGTGCCCTGCTAGAGAGTGCATTTTTGTGATTTAGAACATAATGCAGCAATATGGATTGACTTGAAAAAGATGGGTGACAGGAAGACTAGTTGGAAGACTAGTAATTAGAAATTAAAGTGCTAGGGAAGGATTTTAAAGCTGTGATAGTTGAAGAGAGGGAAGGAAGAGAGGAAGTTAATCCTAAGGTTTCTAACTTGGTAGACTGGGTTGATAGTGATGTTTAAGTAAAGACTTAAAAAATATACAACTTTAAAATTAATGTATATAATCAATCTTCCTAAGCAGATAAGGAGCTTAGAATCTTTAAATCTTTGTTTTGCCTTATTTTATCAATTTTTATCTTGATTTTTTTTGTTCCCCTAAATTTAGCATTTATATTTTTATGTTTTTATATAATAAATGTGTTAATTTCTGTTTGTTGAAATCCAAAGGTCTTCTGGACATTTTCATGTATATTTACCTTAAGGTAACTTTAATAATATCAGTAATAGGTGCCTAAGTTCTAATTAGGTCTGATGTAATGACTTGTATTGATAATCCCATCATGTCTGTATGTCAGTCACGTACATCTCTTCTATGAATTGTCTATTCATATCCTTATTTTCTTATATTCATTTGAACAGTGGATTCAGGGTATACTTAATTATTAAGATTTTCTTGTACATTATTTTGTTCTAGGCTGTTTTGCCTTTTTTTTCCAGATGATAAATTAGCATTTTATGGCTAAAGTATGTAATTAACAGATAAAACAATTACATAATTACATTACATATGACTATAATATATAATGTTATATATATGCTAAAAAGTAGAGGAAGCCACCTATAGATTTTTAGATATGACCTTTATTTTTCCTACAGTTTTGCCTTTTAATTCAGTATGTAGCAGTATGTTGCCTATATGAAGCCTTAATAGAGTGAAATGTGCTGGTATTTAGTTGGTTTTGGATTTGTTCACCTTGAAAGGACTTCCCACTAAAAACATTATCTTTCATTGCTTTGATCTAAAAATAAACACAACTTTTGGAACTTAAATTTACCTAGAATTAATGTGAGATGTGCAGGATGGGAATCTTATTATTATTATTTTTTACCATTATTCATTGGATAGTTCATCCTTTTGAAACCCAGAGATTTGAAATGCCATATTTATCAGATTTAAATATGCCATATATACTTGGGTCTTTTCAGGACTTTCTGGTTTTGTAAAAAAAAAAAAAATCTTTTAGTAGTCTCCTTTAATATAACATACCATTTTTAGTCTTAGTTAAGTCTAACTAAATTCTCCAGTCATTGACTAAACTTAAATTAGAAGCCAGTTCTTATGACTTGTTCAGGAGGGGTTTTTTTTATTTATTATTTTATTTATTTATTTTTGTTAATCCTCACCAGAGGTTATTTTTCCATTGATATTTAGAGAGTAGAAGGGAGTGGGAGTGAGAGAAAGGAAGAAACAGAGGGAGAAACATCGGTGTGAGAGAGACACATTGATTGGGCCCAGGGATCCAGCCTGCAACTGAGATATAGGCCCTTGATCGGAATCCAACCCAGGACCCTTCAGTCTGAGGGCTGATGCTTTATCCATTGAACCACATTGGCTAGGGCCCAACGAGGTTTTTAAATAGTAGAATTTATAGATAATACCATATTGTAGTTGATGTGACTTGGATATTTAATCTTTAGCACAGTATGGCACAATGTAGGTGATGAATACACTTATTCAGTCACTGTAGGAAATGATTGCATACTAAGTGCATAATATGAAGATACAAGTTTGGGCTGTGGGTAAGGTCCTCCTTTAACTCATGGGGTTGACCTGTACCAGTATATAATTGTGAAAAGGATTGCAGAGTTAGAGAACATCTTGTAAGATGATGAAAAGTCTAAACCTTTTATTGAATGAGGATGAAAAGTCTAAACCTTTCCTAAATAGTCTCAAGCCCAGGCAAAGATTTTATTATTGTGGGGAATGTTTGCTCACATTTTTATCATTTCAATAGAACCAACTGTGAGAGCAGAGCTGATGGAACAGGTGCCTCATATTGCATTGTTTTGTCAAGAAAACCGGCCTTCAATCCCATATGCTTTTTCCAAATACTTACTACCTATTGTGGTTAGATATCTCGCAGATCAGAATAATCAGGTAAGAGTGCTATTTACATGTTCTTAATAGAAATTTATCTAATACGATGTAGAATGATCTATTCATTTGAATGTTTTTTTTCCTATTTGACATTGTGACTCTGTTTTACAAAAGACCATTTGTCTTAGACAAGCTGTGTTGAGAATTTGGCAAATCTAGGGCTCCTTAATGCCATTATAGACGATGTCTCCTACCTGAATCCTCTTTGGTCACTTGGCTCCTTCATAGGTGTCCCTCAAAAGTTTCTTTGTGAGACATTTTACAAGATGGCTTCTTTGTTCCATTTATGTTATAACACAATCTACCAGGTTCTATGTTTGCAATACTTTTAAAAAAAAAAAAAATAGCCACACGTTTTTATTTGCATGGTTTTACTGGTTGAGGTGAGAAGTCTTCAATATTGTAAAATCAAGTAATAGAGTTAAATCATGTATGTAGTACTTTGTTTACCGTATACTGTAAACTTTTTCCTAGGTAAGAAAAACAAGTCAGGCAGCTTTGCTGGCTCTGTTGGAGCAAGAGTTAATTGAACGATTTGATGTGGAGACCAAAGTGTGCCCCGTCCTCATAGAGCTAACTGCCCCAGATAGCAATGACGATGTGAAAACAGAAGCTGTGGCTGTAAGTAGAATGTGATTTTTTAATTTAGGTAAAAAGTAGTCCTATACTGACTAATAGAAGGTGCTCAATAAATATCATGCTACGTTATGTGCTATAGTGTTTATACATATATTCGGTATCAAAGTAGCCACAAATAATTGGAATTTGAAATAGAATGACTGGCTACAAAAAGACATAGGCTTACAAGAAGTGTATTTTTTGTGGGCCCCATATTGTGCCAAGCAACTGGAAATTAAATGGTTCTGTCACTGGGCTCACAAGCAAGATATATAGCAAAAAAATAAGTAACTGTAAAATATTATTATGGAAAAATAAGATGGGAGGAAAAAAAACAGTGCCGTTAAAAACAACTGTATTGAATGGAGAAACATTTGATTCCCTTTAATTGCTGTTGAACACTTTTCTAGGCATTGTGTAAACACAATAGGAAAAAAATAGTAATACTTGGATCCTACCCTTGACACTGTGGTCTTTGGGGGAAGGGTAGTCAGGCAATAATTTTACCTGATGTAAAATTATTTATGGTTATTAATGATATATAGATACTAATTCATTATGCACATAATAAAATGAAGCATAATTGTAAATTTTCTAGGTTTTTTTAAACATGGTTAACAAATATTTTTATAGAGAGCCATAAAAAATAGGGTATGAATTAGAATATATAGTAATATCTGTTGCACTTCACATCTGTGGTTCGTGAGTTCAGATAGTAAGAATTCTGATAATAAATTTAAAAACTGATAAATTCACCTGAAAATTTATTCAAACCTGTTTGGATAGAGAGAATCTACTATTTAAACCTAAAATAAAATAATTACATGTTTATTGGTATTTAAAAAATCAACCAAAATTTTATGGTACTTCTGAATCATTAGTAGGATGAATTTGACCATCTTTCTAGTCCATTTCCCTTAGAAATTCCTTGATTTTATTTTATTTTTATATACTCAAGTACCAGTTAATAAGGTTAGATTCTCTGGTACCAGTTAATGTTTAGATATTTTTTCCCCAGTAAGCCCATTTTTATTGAAGTGAAATTCACATATATAAAATTAGCCATTTAAGGTGTACAGTTAAATAACATTTAGTATTTTCGTAATGTTGTACATCCACCACCTCTGTCAAGTTCTAAAACAGATTTTTTCCCCCACAAGTTCCTCATGAAGGGAAATTAATTTCAGCCTCATTGTTGGTTTGTAGTGAGCAGAGTTTAACTTGCTCTGCTATAATTTATGATAGGATTTAATAATAGTAAAATATTATAATGACAATTAAAAGACTATACCCAGCACTGGATGAAACCTGTGATGCTCTTACAATTGGTTCACATTTATTTTGTCACTAGAGACCCAGAGCACGGAATCTGTGCACAGGTAGGGTCCCTAGCAGCTGCCAGCTGGGACCTTCCCCTCCCCCCTCCTTGAGTCCAGCCAGGAGGAGGGGCCGTGAGTGGTTGGCTGGTTGGCCCCGCCCCCTGGTCAAACTCCCAGTCCGGAGGACAATTTGTATATTAGGCTTTTATTACATAGGATGTTTTTCATTCCCTGACTTCCCAGCTGTTCTCTATCTGGGGAATAATTTATTCTAATAAATATAATTTATAGATCGGTGATACAGTATAACTTTGGATCTTTAACCTAGGATGTGGAAATTCTTAGAAACAGTATGAAGTCAAATAACAAAACTGGCTTTGGGGTTTAGGAGATGTAGATGTTATCCCCAGTTCTGAGGGTGTTTCCACTTGTTCATTGCTAACTAACAGAAATGCATTTGATTTTTGTATTTTGACATTTTTGTATCCTGCAAATTTTCTAAATTCACTTATTTGTTCTAGTGACTTCTTTATAGATTCTGTGGAATTTTCTATGCAGACAACCGTGTCACATATGAGTAGAGCTTTCTTTCCAATCTGTATGCCTTTTATTTGTTATATTTGCATGGCTGGGAGTAGATAGAACAAACGAATAGATAAATGATGAGAAATCATCAGAAATCTATCTATATTAACTGTGGGGCAAATTTATTTAAAGAACGTTGGGCTGGTTTCCAAACAATTCATCTTCACTTTGCCTAGCACTGTGGGAACTGTGTCCTGGCCTTCCTTGGAACCTAAGCTTTGCAGAGTAAGGATGTGGTTCCACTGTGCACAAGTTTCATTTAGAATAGTACTTTGTAAAGTAAGAACTGCCTCCGTTTAGTCTTTTCTTAGCAATACATATACTAAACCCAGATCCTCCTTATAGATACTCTTTCCCATTAAATTAAATAGCCAACACTTATTTTCTTACTGAGAAAATGTAGGGTTTTATTGCTTTTAAAGTTATCAGGAAAAATGATTAATAAGATTGAAACTAATCAAACATGAAGTTTTAATGATTTTTTCTGAGCTTACTATGCATCGAGTAACTACTAGCTAATGTTATTGGCGGTAATTACTATCTATTTTTCTGTCTTCAACTCAGATAAGATGAATGTTTTTTGTAATGGTATAATGATGCCATAGTATATATTATATATCCTTAAATTATATGCTTCTAATAAGTTAGCAAACTTAACTTTCTGTTCAAATATAAACTTATGAAAGCCTGTTTAAAGATATTTTCAGTGTATTTTTGTTCTTATTTATTTTAGATAATGTGCAAAATGGCTCCCATGGTTGGGAAGGACATTACGGAGCGTCTTATCCTGCCTAGGTTTTGTGAGATGTGCTGTGATTGCAGAATGTTTCATGTTCGAAAGGTATTTTTTAGTCTTGTTTGTTTGCTTAAGAACACGTGGTTCTAGTGTTTACTATATTGATATGTGAAATTTAAAAGGTTATTTTAGCCCAGACATTGTGGCTCAGTTGGTGGAGCATCGTTCCATGTACAAAATGGTCACTGGTTAGATTCCCTGTCAGGACACATGCCAGGGCTGTGGAAACATGCAGGAGGCAGCTGGTTAATGTTTCTCTCTCATCAATATTTCTGATTCTCTTTCCCTCCCTCCCTCTCTCTCTCTCAAAACAAAAAAATCAATTAAGAAAACTCGAATTAGAAATATAAATGAAAGGTTATTTAAAAAGAACTTTATCTATAATACTTTGAAATGTCAGTGACGCTTTTGTTCTCAGGTCTGTGCTGCGAACTTTGGAGATATCTGCAGTGTAGTTGGCCAGCAAGCTACTGAAGAAATGCTGGTAAGTATTACAGAAACAAAGGAGTAATAAGGAGTAAGTAGTACATTACAAAATAGCACATAAAGTTTAAAGAGCATACATTTACCCCAGATTTTATTAATACAATTTCACAAATATAAACCAGAAGGGAATAGGACTTTGAGCTTAGGAGTTTAAATTTCTGTAATCTGAACTGTGTTTTTGATAAAGACAGATTGTTATAAATGCAAATATGGCTCTGGCTGAGTGTTCAGTGGTTAGAGCATTGACCCACACAACAAAGGATCTGGGGTTTGATTCCTGGTCATGGGCATGTATTTGGGTTGCAGGTTCGATCCCCAGACCTGGTCAGGGCATGTTCAGGAGGCAACCAATCCATGTATCTCATATCATGTCTCTCTCTCTCTCCCTCCTCTCTTCCTCTCTTTAAAAAAAAATCAATGAAAAAAAAATACCCTTGGGTGACGATTAACCAAAAAAATAGCAATATGTGTAAGGACCATTGATCAATTTTTATCTCTCATTTTTATTAAACAAATCAATTCTTATTTATTTAAGTTAATTTCTATTAGCAACCCTCAAGTCTTTCAGTGACAAATCAATAGCTGGGTTTATTTATTTATTTATTTTAATATATTTTATTGATTTTTTACAAAGAGGAAGGGAGAGAGATAGAGAGCCAGAAATGTCTATGAGAGAGAAACATCAACCAGCTGCCTCCTATACACCCCCCACTGGGGATGTGCCTGCAACCAATGTACATGCCCTTGATCGGAATCAAACCCCTCAGTCCACAGACCGACGACGCTCTATCCACAGAGCCAAATAGTTAATTCATAAAATATATATACTTAATGTACAAGTTAACATACTTTGAGAGTTTCTGAAATCACCTGTTATGCAAAATAAGTTTAGGTATAAGCTCTTGAAAAACAACATTGAAGCAATATTTGTTGGAAGTATTTTGTTTTTTCATAGCCAGTAGTTTGTGAATTAGATGTATTTCATTTAAAGTTACTGAGTATTAATGCTAAATAGGTCTTCTAAATTTTGTTAAAATCTAATATTTTAAGAGACTGTAAAAGTAGAAAATGAAAAAAAACTACATGAATACTTCAGAGATATTGCAAGTTTGGTTCCATACCACCACAATAAAGTAAATGTCACAGTAAAAAGAGTCACGTGAATTTTTTGGTTTCCCAGTACATGTAAAAATTATGTTTACATTACACTGTAGTCTATTAAATGCACAGTAGCATTAAATCTTTTAGAAATGTACACATCTTAATTTACTTTATTGTGTCCTGGCCAGTGTTATGTTGTTCAGTGGTTGGAGCATTGGACCGCACACCAAAGGGTCTTGTGTTCAATTCCCTGTCAGGGGCATGTATACCTGGGTTGCAAGTTTGATTCCTGGCACCAGTCGGGTTGTGTGTGGGAGACAACCAGTCCATGTGCCTTTCTCACATCGTTATTTCTTCTTCCCTCCCTCCCTTCCCTCCCTTCCCTCTGTCCCTCCCTCCTTTTCTTTCACTCTCTAAAAACCAATGGAAAAAAATAACCTTGGGTGGGGATTAATTTAAATAAATAAAAATACTTTATTCCTAAAAAATGCTAGCCATCATCTGAGTCTGTTGAAGAAATGGTGGCAATAGATTTGTTGCATGTAGGGTTGCCAAAGCGAAGCACAGTAAAATGAGGTATGCTTGTATTGCACTCTGTCTGCCTAATGAAACACTGTTCTTGCATAGCTGCCCAGGTTTTTTCAACTTTGTTCTGATAACGTATGGGGAGTCCGGAAAGCTTGTGCTGAATGCTTCATGGCGGTTTCATGTGCAACATGTCAAGAAATCCGACGGACTAAATTATCAGCACTGTTTATTAATTTGATCAGTGATCCTTCACGTTGGGTAGGATTTTAATTACTATTTTTGTAAATAATACATTTTATAGCAAACATGATTTGGAGTTCATAATTCAAGTAATAATTTGTTATTTAAGGCATCTTATTGTTCATTCTAGGAGTAAACAATAGACAACTGTATTAACTGTTTTTTTTTTTAAACTGGACAAACTCTGTTCAAATATAAAGCATGTTCATTCCATTGTTATGATGTAGTCTATTGATTTTCAGGTTTTAAGCCAGGGGTGGGGAACATCTGGCCCACAGGTTATATGAGGCCCGCGAAATCATTTGGTCTGGCCCTACTGAGGCATTAGGGTTGAGTGAATTAAATGCTTCACCAAATATGCAGGCTAATTTTTAAATTGATAATTTTGTATGGCCCATGAATGATGTTAAAAACATCCAAATGGCCATTGGTAGAAAAATGGTTCCCTACCCTTGTGCATTAACCTTTAATATATGGGATTTCTCACTTGGTCATAGCGTAATGATTCTTTATATGTTGTTGGATTTGGTTAGTATTTTGTTAAGGATTTTTATATTCATTTATGAGGTAATAGTCTGTAGTTTTTTCTTCTATGGCTTTTTATTGTTGCTATCAGGGTAATAATGGCCTCAAAGAACAAGTTGGGAAGTGTTTCCTGTTCTTCGATGGTTAAGGGAAGAATTAATAATAATTCTCTTTTAAATGTTTAATAGAATTCAGGAGTGAAGCCAAGCCATCTGGGCCTGGGCTTTTCTTTGTGGATATAGTCTTTTTTATTACTACTTTAATCTCTTCACTTGTTATATAATAGGTCTATTCATATTGTCTATTTCCTCAAATATTTTGTCTTCTCTTTTTTCTCTCTTCTTCTGGTATTCCCATTATACACATGCTGGTGTGTTTAAGTGATGTCTCACATTATTCTGAGACAGTATTTATTTTTCCTCATATTTTCTTTTCTCTCTTTTTTTCATTTTGTATAAGTTATATTGATATACCTCGTTTACTAATGTTTTTTCTGCTAGTCCAGATCTATTGTTGAATTCATGTAGTGAATTTTTTTATTTCAGCTATTATACTTTTCAATTCAGAATTTCGATTTGTTTTTCTTTTTAAATATTCGTCTCTTTATTAATATTCTGTATTTGACATGATGTTATCCTCATACCTTTACTTCTTTAATCATGCTTTCCTTTAGTTCTGTGAACAGTTTGTAATGGCTGCTTTGAAGTGGTTTTTTTTTGTTGTTAAGTCCAACATTTTATTGCTCTCACACAGTTTCTGTTACTTAATTTTTTTTTCCTTCAGTGTATGGATCATACTTTTCTGTTAGTTTCCATGCCTTGTAATTTTTTGTTAGAAACTGGACATTTTGGTTAGATAATGTATTGCAGCAAATTTGGGTATGGATATCCTTCTTGGGAGCTTATAATTGTTGTTTGTTTAGTGACTGAGGGAATCCTTCAGTGGATTCTTATTTCCCCTTCAGGAGGCACAGCTTTTGGACTACACGCCCACAGTCACCCTGAGGGCGAGAACGTTTTGGTGGGAGTGGGAGGTTCACCAGCTTGAGGTTCCCTTGGCTTATCTCCCAGCCTCACCAACGCAGGCGTGGGCTTTTGGGGCCCCAGGATTCTGATCTCCATCCAAGGTAGAGCCTCTGTTTCCCTAATGGGCCTTCGGTAGGAGAGGGGAGCCCCCAGGCTCCCCTGCACTTGCCCAGGATCTGTCCTTCGCAACAGGTAGCTGATGGCAGGGGAACAAATGTTGAAAGCCCTCCAGCTGGGAGCTGGAGGAGAGGGAGCCTACTGTTCTTGGCTGTCGCAGTCTGGAGTGGCAGCTCAGCCTCCCTGAGCTGGCCTTGGTTCATATACTCAGACTCTCAACTTTTTTACTGAGCTTTTGTGGATTTTATTGATTGGATATTATTTAATTTGATGTTCGTATTTAGGTCTTTTCCAGAGGTGTTGAATGGTGGAGTTTTTTCCCATTTCACTGGAGAGAGTGGGCCTGTGGAGCTCTTATACTGTCATGCCAGAAGTTGATCTCAGGATCTCACCACATTTATTTTCAAAACAAAATTTACATACAGGAAGCGACTGTTAAGCCTTAGTACTATTTTAATGTGTTTATTATCATCTTGTATAAGATTATTAGAAAGGACTTTGTAGCTTAAATTCTAGCTGAGGAATGATTTATAGTTCTGAATCTGTGTTTCTTCGAGAAAAAGTTTATTATCTTGAACTACTTCATTAAGTATATGGAAAATAGTTTGTTAATAACATGTTTTTATGTTTCATGACTTTTTCTTTTCTTCCTAGGTTCGCCAAGCAGCATTTCAGTCTCTGGGACCTTTCATATCTACTTTTGCTAATCCATCAAGCTCAGGCCAGTATTTTAAAGAAGAAAGCAAAAGTTCAGAAAATACTTCAGTAGAAGACAAAGATAGGTATAAATTTTTAAAACTTTGCTTCTAGTTTTACTGCTTGGGAACATTTTCACTATTTTATAATAAGTTCCTTTTGGAGAATTTTCTCTTTCTCTTGATTATACAAATTGGTAAATATTTTTATAGTTCTAGTTTTAAATACATTTGTTAAATGTTTTGGTTGCTTGTATATTAGATGAGTAAATGAAGGTGTACATGACACACTTAGTTTGTTGCCGGTCACATGGAAAACTATAAATGATTAATTCAATAGTAGTTTGGAATAAGTTTACTTAATAAATTATTATTTAGGAAACCATCTGTTGACATTTAGAATATATGAGGTAATGGTTGTACAACATAAAGGGCTTGGTTTTTTAAGGAATAAATCCTAACTTACTGTTTTAATATATAGTCCATTTCTTACTATTACTTTTCCTTCCAGTCAATTATTTAGTTGTGGATCTTGGATTCTCTGTCTACAGAATGATGATTGTAATCTCAGTTGAGGAAGAAAGTATTCTAATGATTAGCATCAAATTTCTGTACTTGGTAACTAGAATATCAATTTTAAGTGTATTAAACTAATAGGGCAAAACAGGTTTTAAAATGAAACTTAGAGGACAACTCTGATTTTTATTTTTTAACTTTTTGCATTTAAAAATTTAATTGAGTTTTAGTTTTTTAAATTATATTACATACTTAGGGAAAAAAGAATTCAAACATTACTTAGTGCATGGGAATTAAGCACGGGTTTTTGTAGGTGTACATTTGAAATAATTGAGTACCTGTTTTTGAAACAGCCCCTACTATAATGCGTGAGTTACCATAGTGCTTTGTCCCTCCCTTGTCATAATGCTAATGGACATTTTCTTCTGTAGGTCTTGATACTGTGATATTTGCTTTCTTGGTGTTTTGATTTGGCAGTTCTTCCTTTCTTCTCTGCTGCCTTGTTTTACCTTTTTGCCTGTTCTCCTACTGTCCTGCTGAATAGCCAAACAAACCTGAGGTACTGTTTTTGTAAAGGAAGAAAAACCACTCTAAACCTCCTTCCTAGCAAGCACAATCAGTTCTTTTGAAAACAGCTGCTGCAAGGAATTAGACAAAAATACTTATTGGGGGTGGGGGGTGTTATCTGTTTTTCATTTTTAAAGTCAGTATATATTTTCCCTATCTAATTTTACAAAGGCTATGATGTAAGTTATTTTTAAAACTGGAGGCAGTCTAGTACTAAGTGAAAATAAAAATTTATAGAAAATTGTATAGCATAGGGATAAGGAAACTTTCTATAAAGGCTAAATTATGATTTCAGTCCTTGTCACAACCACTCAGTTCTGTTTCTTTTAGAAAAAGTTTATTATTATCTTAACTACTTCATTAAATATATGGGAAATAGTTTGCCATGTGTAGCAGCCATAGACAATACACAAACAGATGGGTTTGGCCCTGTTCCAGTAAAACTTAATTGGCAAAAATAGTTGGTGTGGCTATCATGGCCAATAGTATTGCTCACTGCCAGTATTGGACATTATTGGGAGAGCTATTTAAAGGTAGTTATCTTTTAGCTACAAACCGTAATTTCTCTTCCATTGTATTGAGATATGTCTTACTGTCAAGCCAATACTATTTGTAGTATTGGATTTTCACTATTTTATATGACTTTATTGAAATGTGTTAATGGGGTAGGGGGGAGAAGAAAGAATTCCTCACTAAGGAAGTTTGTTAAGAACATTTTACTTCCTACCTTCAAAAAGAGTTGTTCTGCATATTATTAATCTCATAACCATTAGTTTGTTTGCCCTCTCTTAAATACTGCATTGTCTATTGTTTTAAGATGCTGTTTTATTATTTAGTATTGATTGATGGAGCTAAAATTAATTGAGCACCTACTAACAACCAGCTATTGTAGATAGAAATAGAGAACTTATTCTCACGGCCCTCTCAGTTTCCTAGAATTCATATTTCTCAACTATGTTACAAAATAAGCAAGGTTTTGGCAATATATTTTCATTACTATTTGTTAATTATATATTGTTTCATCTGACCCTGGTAACATTTAATATAATTTAACAATGTTTGAAGGATTTAATTAATTATAAACATCTAACTTTATATACAAAATTTATCGTTCATTCACTCCAGAGTAGGCTATTTCAATGATTCTTTGAAGGTGTTACTAAAAGCTACTTCCCAAAGGCTGTTTTCAAACTTGCATTTCTAAATTATGTCAAACCAACAATTACATTATTCTCTGAACACATTGTTCTTTTGGTTCTCCGTGCTTTCTCTTTGGGAAGCCCTCCTGTTCCATTTATACCTTATTTAACAAAGTCAGTTTCAGTTTGCTTGCTGCCTCTGGATTCACTACCTCCAAGAATATATCCTTGCATTTTTTCAGGAAATTTATAGCTTTTGCATCTTTGCTATCAGTAGGACTGGAATGAGAATAATTTTTAATCAGGTTTCTTTTTTTCATTTTTGAATGTATTTTTTATTGTTGGTAGTATTACAAATACTATCTCCCATCCCTCCCCTCCTTACACCCTCCTCCAGTCTCTTACATACCCCTATCTTTTTAATTGTGGGTGTTTCTGTATGTCACCTAATAGACTGCAAGTCCATCCTATGTAGCAATGTAGTATTTTATCTTCGTATACTCTTAACATCTTCTTTTGGTCTGGCACATAGTTGGCACCTAATACATCTTGAGTAACTTATTATAAGGAAAAATATTTAATTTTAAATTCCTTAAATAATGAGCCACTTACACTAGTTTTTGTCAGTTTAGCTTAATGCCATCTATGTGAAAGTAATATGATTGGTACAAATTCAGAAATATTTCACAGTTAAAACTTCATTTATTTAATTCACAGTATTGGAGAGTGCTCTTTGCTTTTATCCCAGGATACAGTGCTTCTCTCACCAGATGTTCTGTAGGTCATTTTCTCCTTGAAAAGCAAGTACAAGTACTTATTTTCTAGGCCTATAGTCTCTATTCAAGAACTCTGAGAATATTAATCATAAACTAAAGGAAACTTAAGGTTCTTTCTGAAAGAAATTTCTGGCTTACCCTCTGGTGCTCTTATTGCCTACGATCTCTTAGGAAATAATTTTCATTATGCAGAAACATGTCTCAATTTTCAAAAAAATGTTTGCTTGTATAATGGCATTTGGGAGTCAGAATTTTGGCATCTAGCAGCATGATCTTGCATTGACTCTTATCTAGTTCTAGGAAAAATCTGTATTATTATTTTTAACATATTTTTATTGATTTCAGAGAAGAAGGGAGAGAGAGATAGAAATATTAATTATGAGAGAGAATCATTGATTGGCTGCCTCTTGCACAACCCCTACTGGGTATAGAGCCCTCGACCAGGCCATGTGCCCTGACCAGGAATCAAACCATGATCTCCATGAGGCTCCATGATCTCCACTGAGCCACTCTAGTCAGGCAGAAAAACCTGTATTTAGAGAACTTTTATTGTTTTATTTTTTTAAATATATTTTATTGATTTTTCACGGAGAAGAAGGGAGAGGAATAGAGAGTTAGAAACATCGATGAGAGACATCGATCAGCTGCCTCTTGCACACCCCCTACTGGGGATGTGCCCGCAATCAAGGTACATGCTTTTGACCTGAATCGAACCTGGGACCCTTCGGTCCGCAGGCCGACGCTCTATCCACTGAGCCAAACCGGTTTCGGCAGAACTTTTATTTTTTGACAGTTTGAAGCAATTTATAATTCATACATGTATAATTCTTCCCAGAATTTAATACTAGGAAGTTTTGACTTTTTTTTTTTTTTTTTAAATACACACTAATAATTTTATATTAGTCAAGTAGAATCACTTGGCTGTTTTTTGTTTTTTAGGCTAAGAATATTAAAATGTAGTATTCTTTTTTTAAAAATATGTTTTTATAGATTTTAAAGAAAGAGGAAGTGGTGGGAGAGAAAGGGAAACATCAATCTGCTGCCTCCTACATACACCCCAACCAGGGATCGAGCAGCAACCTGGGCATGTGCCCCGACTTGGCTTTTCAACCAACTGAGCCACGCTAGCCAGGGCAAAATTTAAGGTTCTTAATTAATTTTAATATTAAAATTTAATTTGAATGCTAAAGTGAAAATAGTGATCAAGGAACCCTGAAAATAATTTCATATACTTAATTGCATTCTTTTTGTATATTTTAAATGGAACTTTCTAAAATTCATCAGATAATAGTTGAAGTGTTACAAGTTTTACTCACTTGCTCCCTACCCTCACAAAACAATACCTTGTTACTATGATTTTTTTTTTTTTTTTTTTTTTTTTTTTTTTTTTTTTTTTGGACTGACAAGCAATTTTATTAAGTAGGATGTAATGTGAATCTTCTACCTGTTACGCCCAGACTTCATGATCCCCAAGGACCACCAGGGAGCCGAGTCCGATGCAATAAACAAAAGAGCCTTTTCCATGCTAGCATGGGCCCCCCCACTCATGCAGGCAGCATGGCGGAAGAGAGCGAATTTCTTCCAGTCCAGGGGTTTTTAACTCCGGTCGATGGTGATGTCACTGCCTCTCATTCCCCCCTTGTCTGATGTGCCTAGTCAAATCATTGACTCAGCCTACTTCCTTCAGCATAAACAACAAATACAGTTACCAAGACCCTTAGTACCACAGTTCCCATCAGTATTGTCCTCACTAAGTCCAGTTCCTCTCCTGCAGGCATCAGTTCTCCTCTTGGCCTGTAGTTGCCAGGATCCAGGCCATGCAGGAACTGGGAGTCATGTAGTCAGGTCTGGGTGCCATCTACTTCAACAGCAGTGGGCGTGCTCAGGATAACAGTGCAGCATCCCTTTGAGTCCTTGGGCAGCGAATTTCTTCACCCATATTGAGTTCCAGGGCTACAGGGTCTGCGGTGGGAACTGGCAGTGCATCTGGAACAAGCAAACTGCAGAACCTGTAAGGACTTGAGCAAGGGAATGGTTACCATACATGATCCCCTCCCAAAAAGGGGAAACTTGTCCTAGTAAGGGATAC